CCGTGCAGACGCCAGAAGGCAACACTCCGATCGGGCGAGGAGGAGACGAACCAGCCGGACTGGTGGGTGCAAATCTTGAGACGCGGGGAGGGGGAAGTACAAGAAAGGCAAGTCAGAATTGGCAACGAAATCAATTGTATACTTTGGCGTCTAAATGCCTGTTAGTCTCACACTTTCAGAAAGGATTGGCTATGGCTTTGGTGAATTAAAGTGTCCTACTTAGCTTAACCACTTCAACCACAAAAAGATGCCTTTAGATGACAGCTCGCATAAGGGCCGATTACTATTTTTTACAGGAGGGGGTGATATTTACGGACGGCAATTGAGGGTAGATATTCACACTGAACTATTCAGTAATTCGCAAGCATTTAAAACCATCTAGTAAATGTAATAGTTTAAAACTTTCAATAAATTCTCGATTAATTAATCTTGTAAGGAGCTCTGACCTTTTTTCTGTTGCTGGGGCAAATCAAAATATTTAGGAAGCTGCATGCATTTTAAGTCAATAGATTCAGAAAATCCGTAGTATATAAATATTAGGGCGAGAGTCCGACAGCATTTAGATCTGAAATATTAAGTTTTCAAAAACGGAATTTTATCAAGAGGCTTAAAAAGTAGACTTGGGTCTATTCGTTTTATAAGAACTACTCAACTTCTAACGAGTGGCAAGCCAAGCTGCCGTATGCATACTGGAATTGTAAATCCAACTAAAACTCTAATTTCTACTCGGGGAGTCAAACTGATATTCAATGAATTTCCATATACATTGCATACCCCTAGTAGAGGGTGTGCAGTTTCTTTACAAGAGAGAAAAATGATTCCCATAGCATGATATTTTTAAAGAAAAATAAGTATTCATCTGACACATTTGTAAAAAGCTCAGCGGGTTCGGTAGGATTTTAAGGCAAAAGCAAACAACACCCTAACCCGCCGAGGCCGCCGAATTTGTCCAAAATCAGATGAGATGAGTTACAAAAAATGAGTGTTTGGACAGAAGAGATTCTAAGATATCACCCGAAAGGTGAATGCAAAGATAGTCACCTGTGAGACTGCATCGCTGTGGGCGCGCCAGAGAGCGACGATCTGACCTGAACGAAGCTCCACCGCGGACATAAGGCCGGAATCAAAGCCGCAAACAACAGTCATACCGTCACCGATGGCGGCCAGTGAGCGAATGGGCCCTGGAGAGTCAAGTCCAGTGAAGGAGGGACCTTGAAAAAAAAGAGGGAAGGACTTCAAAATCGTCACGAGGTTTCTACAAGTCATACGTATATGGGGAGGGGATAGGGCGGAAAAAGAACGCGATAGGCTGCATCTGACAGAACCAGATGACGAGGAGAGAAACCGGAAGGCTGTTTATATGAGGACGTTTTCACAGGAGTGATTACCGGCATACCTATTGAGGCAAAGTGAGATACTGAAAAACGGTCTAGAAGACGAGGATTTTATTCGTCTAACACTAAAAAGTATCCTTGTATGCCTGATAGAGCCATTCACACGGACCACATATTGATGTCCTCTAAGTTCATAAGTAGGAGCGGAGTGGAGGAATGTTCACTGTATCTGCAAAATACCATGACTTAATCATCCCTTAAGTAGGAAACTGAAGTGAGAACGTCCTATGTCGACCACAGTCGCTCATGTGTAGGACGGGGGGGATGATACCATCTGTCGATTCACAGTCAACCAGGTTGACACACAAAAGTAAGTGTACTCCAGTGTCTAGGTGATCGCTCAAGAGTTATCTAGGGACTAATTAAGAAATTCCCAAATAGGGGGTGTGGGGGCGAACCAGGCATCGCGAATAACTAAAACTAAAATAGATGAACATTGATGATAGTGATTTGGACAATATGTTAGCAAAATGGAACTGCTAAAGATTACCGATAAGGATGGGGCAGACGGGAATGAGAAGTTCTGGCTTATTAGCCGTCACTAGCCATTTATACCCGACCCCAGATAGTGGCCCAACGGATTAGAGTGTTAAACTTCTAATGAACAGGCTGCGGGTTCGAGCCCAGTCTCCGTTTTCTTTGTCGGTAATGTTCAGCCGCGCATAATAATAGCCGTTGTGCGGCTGCAGGGATCGAGAGTGACCCCTAAGGGATCACGGGATGAGTGAGGCCCACAGCCGATCGGTGAGCGCCCGTCTATCTTTGTTAATACTCCGTAAACGAAAACTGGCAAAATGACGAACCCCTGGCACTGTGGATTAGAGTGTTGAACTTTTAATTAACAGGTCGCGCGTTCGAGACTCGACTGGGGCATCACCTGTGGTTAGGCATGGCTGGCTGGTGACGGCTAATAAACCAGAAATGGCCATTCAGTCTTCCTTGTCTTTACTAGTAATACCATTTTGTCGATATCATTAGCCACTGTGGAGCTGCTGATGGGATTCCACTAGGCCCAAAGAACAACGGGACGCGTCATTCCCGTAGGCGATTGGCAAGAGCCCATTCACCACTATATATTAATATGCGGTAGGATTTGAGGTCCAGATATAATATTGCTTTCATCATCCCCGACAGAGAAAGAAGAGCAGGCAATTTCTGGTACCAATGTATATCTAGGCTGACGTTTCAAAAAGACTTGTCATAATCGCCAGAGCGTGCTGTCTACTCTTCTGCCTGCGTCGAATGAATGGGTCTTAGCGTCAGCCTTGTGTTATAGCCGTGTCTGATGCCCGCGCGTCGATCGATCAGCTCACAATCAACCGCAAGGATAAGTTGTCTATGGTCTATGACCACGTACAACAGAAGAATCAAACGCTGAAAAAGCAAGCGTAGTAGGCCAAGCCAATGGCAAGATAGACAGGTTGTTGCTAGAAAGTTGGTCCTCGACAGGCACAATTAACAGAGCCGTAGACCTGCATCCCCCCTACCCAGCGCTCCGCACGAGCCTAACGTCAACTTAGAACACAGCACTAGGTCAGGCGAAGGAAGATACACAGGACCGACAGCCGCAACCGCGAAGAAAGATAGTGGCAACGAGCAGAAGTCACATGAACGCCGTAGCACATGTTCTCATGGAGGCGCACGCGAGGGCGAGAGAAATTCAAACGACCACTAGCGATCGATGGACGCGCATGAATCA